ATATCGTCAGTTATATCGTTATCGCAAATTTTCAAATGTATATCGTGATAAATATTTTTGGTCATATCGCCCTGCTCTACTCTTTACTTTATCATCATTTTTTCTGCAATCTCAGTTTGTCCATACAAACATCAACACAATGAGCAGTAATAAAACTGAGGATATATCCATATATTATACAGGCCCACTCACGACAAAGTCTACTGAAAGTCACTCAAGAGCCAATTTCACTATCGGAAAATGGAATTCCAAGCTCTACATTTTTCCTTATAAAATGTGAACCTGTCTTCTGGAGGACTATACCTGTTTCTCTGTGTTCTCTGAAGGCCACCCTTGGATATGTCTGATGAGGTTTTCATCGAAATGAGCTGACAGGCTGGGAGTGAAGGAGCCAGGGGTGTCTGAGTGGCTCGCACTGCTGGACGGAGCGTGAGGCAACAAGGCACCAGATGCGTTTGATCCTGTGCACAACATGTCCTGGCTGCTGGAGGAAGACACGCAGGTGGAGACCGTGTTAATAAAATCCTGCTGCAGTTGTTCTGATGTTCTAGCTGATTACTGTTACACAGATCAGTCTATAATCTCACCGTCTAACCTATGAATGGGGAAATATGGATGAATAATAAGCCTCACCAACATTTCCGGTTGTTCGGGGGAACTGCATCATTGGGAGCTGAGTGTCCCCAAAATGACTACTCTCAAATAACACACAGACCTTGCTGCAAACCCTTTCTCAAAAATAAACCGTTCCCATAAACACTATCTGGAAGACATGTTGCTGTATTTTGTAAAGCATGTTTTTGCAATTCAGGCCAGTTGTCCTTGTAGCTCTTGAATCCCCCCCGCTACTACTCATCTGCTTTGCCTCCACCAATCTATGCTGTGATGAAGTGATTTTAAATAATTCCTTCCTGAAAGTTACCTTCTCTGCTGCAGAGTCCTGGGGTCTTCTGGCCGCTTTTCTGCTGTCTGGGACAAGGAAGCTGAGCCTGGCTTCCCAGAAGACATGCTGCCCTGAAGAGGGAAAAACAGATGACGATGAGGAGAAACATGAATAAAAACAAGACACGGATACGAAAACCCACACAGAGAAGATGGTCTAGAGGAGTGCAGTCATAAACACAGCGTCTCTGCTCTGTTACTTTAGCTTCAAAGGCTCACCCTGGTTTGCGAGGATGAGACGCTGCCAGGATGCACACCCAAATGAGACTTCTGGTTGCTCTGTGGTGTGCCGTTCCGTGGTGAGACGTACGGCCGCGGCGATGATGTGTCGGACGTCAGGGAGACCGGCGACTGACTCGAGTGCTGGGCTGAAAACAGGAAAACATAAGATTGCCGTGGAAGAATAGGGGATTTGTCAGGTTGCACATATCATTGTACAGAGTGTGAAGGAGGAAAATGAGCACTGATATTAGACCAGGTTTTTTTAGGACTAACAGCAAACAGTTAAAAAGGTAAAAAAGCTTGAAGAGGGAATACAACAGCATATAAAACACCCTTTATCCCAGAACATGGGACCATGTCTTGTGCTTCTTTTCCCCCCCCACATAGCTGTAGTCAATCTAAAAAAAACCCTAAAGTTATACACACAGTAAAACAAGGACACAGAGAGCAGAAACCTTCCAAAGAAGATGAAAATCAGTATGTGACAGCAGATGGTGAAAAACAGCAAAGAGGCCGTACCTTGGTTGGAGTGCTGAGCAGCTGAGAGCAGAGCAGTGACGTTGAAAGCAGGTCCAGCAGTGAGGAGCTTATGAAGCACAGACTGCAAGGAAGCTTGGGTGACAGCAGCTGCCAATACTGGAGGGAGGAAAGAGGGACGTGTACACACACACA